GGAATTGGATTTTCTTCCTTGACACCAGACAAAGCCTTGTTGTTAAACCTTGTTTTAGTTGAAAGTGATGGTACTCGAGGGTAACAACCATTATTTAAAGTCGAATTGGTGGGCATATAACTTGATTAAGAGTTATGGGGGAGGGGGGCGAGGGGTTGGGACAGTCTAACCAAAGTATTAATGAGATGACCTTATTGTTATTCTCTGATTTACATTTTATAATAAAAGATTATTGATGATCACAAGAGCTGAGAAGGTTGCTAACGTGCTGACTTAAACTAATGTTCAAGATGAGGTTCACAATATCTTCTGTTTCAAAAATCTTATGTGGTTGCCAACCTTTCCAGATTAGCCGTGAGTTTCCTGGAATGGGCCTCAATCTCCTGATTGGCTCCTGAAGCCAATCTGGGAGATTTAGGCCCCTAAAAGTCCAGTGGGTGGTATAGTGAGACTAAGGCAGGTTCCCTAGCTGCCCTGGATCCGCACGGCTCCCAGAAGCAGCCAGCAAGTCCCTCTAGCTCCTAGGTGCAGGGGCAACCAGGGGGGTCTCTGCGCACTGCCCTGCCCCGAGCACTGACTCTGCAGCTCGCATTGGCCAGGAACCGCAGGAGCTACGGGGGCGGTGCCTGCAGGCAGAGGCAGCGCGCAGAGCTGCCTGGCCACCCCTGAGCCTAGGAGCCAGACATGCTGGCTGCTTTCCGGGAGCCGCCCCGCAACCCCCTGTCCGTGCCCCAACCACCTGCCCCAGCCCTGATCCCCCCGCACAGCTAAACTCCCTCTCAGAGTCTGCACCCCTCCCACACCCTAACCCCCTGCCCCAGGCTCAGCCGGGAACCCCCTCCCACACTGTGAATCCCTTGGCTCCACCTCCAGCCCAGAGCCCGAACCCTCTCCTGCACCCCAACCCCCTGCTCCAGCCCAATGAAAGTGAGCGAGGGCGGGGGAAAGCGAGTGACAGAGGGAATGGGGATGGAGTGAGTGGAGGGCGGGGCCTCAGATAAGGGGCAGGGCAGGGGGCATGGCAAGGGTGTTTGGGTTTGTGCGATTATACAGTTGGCAACCCTAGGCTCTTACCATGGCTAGGCTGTGGCCCCCCAGCCGGAGCAAGATCCAAGTAAAACCTGCGCTCAGGCAGCTGTGGGGAGCCGCGGACCCTCCTGCCCTGGAGTGGGTAGGGAAGGCCATGAGGCAGAGACACAGGCTGGGGGCTGCAGGTAGAAGGTCAGTGGTACCCCACAGCTGGCCGGGCTACAGCTGCCAGCCTGGCCGGGAGGGACAGGGCCTCTTCTGAAAAGTGGATGGGCCAGGCCTATTCACTTTCAAAAAGTGGGAGGGCCATGGCCCCTTACCCCCCTCCCCGCCCCCATTTCAGCACCCTGCCTCTGCTTTACGTGCTACCGCAATATAATTGATAAATAATAATAAAATTATTTTCTGAATAAGTAAACACTAAAATATCACCCAAGCAGTACTCAAATCCAACACCCTTGGCTTTATAAACCTGGGACACTGCTAAACATCATCTCTAAATGACCCACAGCCTCATTCTCGCTTATTCTGATCTTGAAGATAGGGAAAATCTAACATCTCGTTAAAAAATAGCACATTTTCTTCCTTCTTCCTTTTCAAAAATAAAAATAGATTTGCTTGAAAGGTAAAAAATGGTTTTGGGTTGAGCAAAATTCTGAGATTTTTTTAAAATATATTTGAATTTGTTAAAATAAAACTAAAGGAAATTTTCAAACAAAAAGTAATTTCAAACAAACAAACAAAATCCAAACACTTTGTTTCAAAAATCTCTCAAACAAAATGTTTAGATTTCTTTGGATTTTTTTTCCCAGAAGGGAAAAAAAAATTGGCAAAATCAAAATGAACTAGCAAAATGTTTTGGTACACATAACCCTGCATTTTTTGCTGAAAAAAAGTTTTGATTGAAAAAATTTGCCCAACTCTTCCTCTGTGGGGTATGTATTACCTTCTTCTGGTTACAGATCAGAAAACTGAGGTAGAGAGATGAATTGACTTGCCTTCAGCCACAAAGATGAGTTTACATTTTAGGATCTCCTTGCTAGGCTCCCATGCCTCTCTCTAATACTTATATATTCTGAGATTAGACGGAGGTGGTGGGAGGATTTTCTCTCTACTTTACGACAGGTATCAGAGTAGCTGTCGTGTTGGTCTGTATTCGCAAAAAGAAAAGGAGTACTTGTGGCACCTTAGAGACTAACCAATTTATTTGAGCATAAGCTTTCGTGAGCTACAGCTCACTTCATCGGATACCTATTTATAAATACTCCTTTTCTCTCTGCTTTATGTTGTATCAGAAATCTGGCAATGACTAAAAAGAACCAAATAAACTAAAACAACCCAAAAAACTGAAACCCGCCACAAACATTCAGTTTTCTTCTTATGTTAATTACATTGAGCAAACAATTAAAAGGGGCAAAAACAAATGTAGGACCCCATCATGTACGCTGCTATGTGCCCTTAAACTTCATTGACGTTACCAGGGGTTGTAGGTGCTTTCAGGAAGCTGTGAATGAATAACTGAAATGAATGAATAAACAAAAAAAAAATGCACTGTGCGTGTGCTATTTCAGAACCACTAGGAGTGGACTGTTGTAAATCCTAATATGAAAATTAAACAGTTTATGAGATTATTTCTATGTTTCCCCCTGAAGATTTGTTTTGCTTTGTATCTGTTAGGCCAGTCAAAAAGTAACAGGCAAAGCTTTGTGTCCGGGCATTCAATCATTTCAGTAACGTGCTGTAAATTCCTCTGCAGTAGCACTATAGGGGTTAGTCACCAAAGAAGGAGGGAAATGATGATGGTAGAAGTTTTGCTGTTCAATGTGAACAGAGAGAAATCAGAGGAAGAAATGTTATAAACAATAATAGGGCAGTACAAAGTGTTCCAATCCAACTCCAAATGAAACCAAGAGAGCATCTTTTGGTGGACTTAATGGAAGTTGGATCAGGCCCTCTTAGAGAAGTAAACACCTGTGAAAAAACCCAGCCCAACTTCCCAATCAGGCTGTACACCATCCTGCAATCTTCTCTCAACCAGCCCACATCCCCTAGCACCTCCCCCTCCTTGCCATTCCAGCCTGCACAACCCTAGCATCCTTCCCCCATCACACAGGCCTGCATGGTTCCTCTCAGCATCATTCCCTCCCATTTTGGTGTTCCTGCTACACCCCATTCACTGTCTTCATTACATTCATTCCACACACCCACTGAATACTGGAATGGTGCCAGTCAGAATTCTTTGACACATTTTCTGACCAACATATATACACAATGTGTACCTTGGTCCAATGGGATGTGTGCATGGGTCAGTTTACCTGGTCTGGTTATAAGGCCTTCTACCTTGGTTTCTCCTACTTAGCTCCTCAAAAAATGTACACAGACTCAAATGGCTCAAGTGTATCCACTTCCTGGAATCTGGTTTATTTCACAAAACAGAACAGCTCAGCTCAACTCAAGTCTTCCAGCCCTCTTCCTCAGGCTCACCTGCTCCTCCAACTAGATTTCACAGCCCTTAAGTCCTCTCACCAAAACCTCCTTCGTAGCCTTACCCAAAACCGTTCCCAGACAAGTCTTCTGCTCCTGCTCCCTACAGGTATCTCCCACCAGATGTTCTACCTGGCTGGTCCAGAGTCCCTTTTCTGACCTCAAGTTTCCCTCATCTGTCTGGGCCAGCTCTCTCTTAAAGGACGCCTCATCACCAGGTTGCCATCACATGATGCTTGGTCACCTGACATAGCTGCCAGTCAAGGTCTTGAAATGTAGTGCAGGGATGCATGGATGCACTCCAGGCCTGTTACAAGATGCAACTGAGGACCATTTTGTCTAAGTACTGGGATTTTAATGAATTCTAAATCATGGATGTCCTTGCTTTCCTGGATAGGTCTTGCAATTTTCATGTTATTTTAATTTAACTCTCGTCATCTGTATATTTTTGTTTTTCAGTGTCCGCTGAAGTGATGAGGCCTCTTTTCATATATTGAGTTTCAAGAGACATAATCACCTAATTAGGACAAATAATGATACCACGAACGCCATTTCTAAATTTTGTGAGGATTAAGACAGTATTTGCACTATAGCACGTCAGCGATTTCAAAGTATTTTTTTACACGGCCCCTATTGAAATCAATCTACTATGTATCTAGTGCTCCAAAATGCCAGTAGTTCCATAACACACTGCACCAAGGTACAACAGAATTTGGATTCAGGGGATTGGTGGCGAAAGGCTGCAGCTTTACTAAGGCAAAATTCACAGTAAATAAAAGTCAGCAACAATAGACATAGAACAACAGACCATCCAGCTTCCAGAAAAACCACAGCTCTAAAATCTACATCTCAGGTTATAATCTATATTTAACATCACTGACCAACTCTACCTTCACCTAATAAGGATGTATGGACAGCCTTCTCCACTTGAGTCCTATCCTCTTGTCATGACACACTCTCCACCTTACTGGGCAAGGTATTTTTAAGCCTTCACAATTTACTACTTTCCCAGCATGCTGGGAATTAGCGGCAGCTCTTCTCTTCCTATAAACATCCCCAGCAATGACTGGCCTGCAACCCACTTGAAATCTGCACAACCTCCATGGCCTCCTCTCAGTGAACAAACCTGGGATAAACAACATTTATGATCCTGGTGAAATACTTTAACAAATTATCTTGCCTCGAGCAGTGCAGCCCCCACTGGCCAAACCCACTGCCAAAGGTACCTCAATCTAACATAGGCAAACAGGACTGTTATATGGCTGGGACCTGTACGGTCCGGGGACAGTATGTGGGCAACTAGTCACTAGACCCCAGTTCAGCAAAACACTTAAACATATACATAATTTTTAAGAAGGAAGAGTATAGGCTACTGACAATGCTACCCTCCTGCTTCTGAATTAATGTATTGCTGTACATAATGTATGTACTTTGTAGTAAGACACTGCCTTCTTCCAAACCCATTAGCTGTTGATTTCTCTCCACAGGAAGCAGGGAAGCAGCATTCACCTATGCCATTACCGCTGCTGGGGTTGCACATGCTGTCACTGCTGCCTGCAGCCAGGGCAACCTCAGCAACTGTGGCTGTGACCGAGAGAAACAGGGCTACTACAACCAGGAGGAGGGCTGGAAATGGGGAGGCTGCTCTGCGGATATCAGATACGGCATTGAATTCTCCAGGAAGTTTGTTGATGCCCGAGAAATCAAAAAGAATGCACGGAGGCTGATGAACTTGCACAACAATGAAGCTGGAAGAAAGGTATTCTAGACGGGGAGGGGATGGGATAACATGCTTTCCGGAGGGTGGGGAGGTCCTTTTAATTTGCAACTGAACTTAAGTGGGGCTGGTTATAGTGAGCAATGCCCCCCAGTCTTCACCCTCCTTTAAGATTGTCATTCTGCACCCATCTCAAAGTTATCTGATCGTGTTTAATGCCTATATTTGTTTTATAAATTCTGAAATGAGTTTATATCAAAGCTCCATTAACTACTCCACAGTTTATGTGCCTTTAACCATTTCTACTTCTTTAGGCCCCCTTCCAAGCTCTCTTGAAATTAGGCATGATCTTGCAGGAATTGTCATTGGTGGTGCTAAATCTTTGCATTTTCTCTCCTTGGAAAAAAAGCTAGCAAAAGGTAAAGGAGATTGTGGTGGGACATAGAAATCTTTCTATGTTGCTGAACTCCAACAGCTCCAGTTGTTATTCATTCCACCCAAAGGCAAAATGCTGCTTCAAGTATGCCTCTAATCAAATACATACTTTCTAGCAAATGCATAACTGTCAATTTCACATTGGTGGAGTGCATATAACCACATGATTGCTAGACAAGTGTTACCTAATCTTTGGAAGAAGACACACACTTAAATGTCTACAATCATGATTTAGCTGCTTGCCAATGAAACAATAAACTTAATGGAATTATGGCCAATTTACGCCAGTTGAAGATCTAACTCCATAGCTTTTAAAAATTAAAACATGCCCTTTTTCATAATACATCACCACACTCAGAGATTTTGTTAAAGTCTTTTAAAATGTTTTCAGCCTAAGAAATAAGGGTACTGATTTTCCAAGATGTAGCTTCTGTATGAATTAAATTGTATTATGTATTCTACTACAGGGGTTCTCGACCTTTTTCTTTCTGAGGCCCCGCCAACATGCTATAAAAACTCAATGGTCGACCTGTGCCAAAACAACTGTTTTTCTGCATATAAAAGCCAGAGTCAGTGTTAGGGAGTAGCAAGCAGGGCAATTGCCTGGGGCCCCACGAAGCTAAGTTGCTTGGGTTTCGGCTTCAGTTCCAGGTGGCAGGGCTCAGGGCCCCAGCAGGTCTAATGCCGGCCCTGCTTGGAGGACCCTGATGCCTGCTCACGGACCCACAGAGGGCCATGGACCCCTGGTTGAGAACCACTGTTGTACTGTACAGAAAGAGAATTTCAGTCTATCACAGACCAGAAAAAAATATCAGACATTATTCCTTACAAATTTCCTTCCCTAAACAGCTGTGTGTTTTTGCTGTGTGCTGCGCACTAGTTGTTGTATTCCATCCCAGAGGTGGCTCATTTTTGATGGAGGCTGAAGCAATTCCTGTACATACTGTATTTTGAAAGACATAATAGCACTCAATCCATGCAAAAAACTCTCAGGGGTTGCAATGGGAGCTCTGTACAAAAGCTGAGGGCAGAATATGGCTGTAGTTTGTAAAATGCATTGAAATCAAAGGCGTTATATAAATGAAAGAAAAAGAAAGAGAAAATGGAGCGATGATCCAGAGTGCTGGAATGGAAGCCAGGAATTCCTGAACAGGGGAGCACTGGACATTTTTATGCCATACGTGGAATGTGGGAGGCAAATCACCTGGGGTGCATGATGGAAGGTATCCTTAAAAAGGGTAGGAGTACTTGTGGCACCTTAGAGACTAACCAATTTATTTGAGCATGAGCTTTCGTGAGCTACAGCTCACTTCATCAGATGCATACCGTGGAAACTGCAGCAGACTTTATATATACACAGAGAATATGAAACACAGTTGATAGATTGATAGATAGATTCATATTCTCTGTGTATATATAAAGTCTGCTGCAGTTTCCACGGTATGCATCTGATGAAGTGAGCTGTAGCTCACGAAAGCTCATGCTCAAATAAATTGGTTAGTCTCTAAGGTGCCACAAGTACTCCTTTTCTTTTTGCGAATACAGACTAACACGGCTGTTACTCTGAAACCTTAAAAAGGGTAGATCTCTATACGTGAAAGTTGTCCTGACTGGCAAGTGTGGGGAGGGAGGGCAGCCAGGACATGGCTCCTGGCACAACTGGTGCTGCTAGTCTGGAACTGGTTGTCTCTTTTCTTTGCTTCAGCACTTAATGTATCTCGGAAGACATTTATTGGGTTGTACACCCAGAATAATAAAGCTAGTCACTGAATTTCTGAAGTAAAGTACTTACTTGTATTATAGTATTGTCGAGAGTCTCCAACTGATATCAGGGTCCCATTGTGCTAGATGCTTTACACACTCATAGTAGACGATCTCTGCCTTGCCAGCTTACAATTTAAATAAACAAGACAGATAAAAGGCGTGAGTGGCAAAGAGCTGAAATGATTTGCTCAAAATTACCTAGTAGGTCATTGCAAGAGCCAGGAACAGAATCCAGTCTACTGCTCTCTTCACTAAACCACACCGCCTGTTCTAATTAAGCAAATAATAATATAAGGTGAAACTTCATAAACAGGAGGAAAGTGACCAAAGAACTTCCTAGATTACCGCGTGAATACTTCTGGAAAGAATTTTCAGGAAAATACATTTGCACTAGTATTTGTGAGGATTTCACTTTCTGCAAACATTCTCGCAAACCCAAAAGGTATCACTTGCATGACTGGTTGTGGACAATGTTTAAAAAGGGTTATGAATATTGTCAAAGTGGTTTAGTTCAAATGAATGTTTGTAAATACTGTTTTAGGATTCACTCCCTTTTTCAGGAGATTCTTTAATAAAAATTTGTACCTATATGTTTTTATTTTAATAGTTAATGTAGCATATAATTTTAAAACAACTAGACATAAACTGAAGAGGTTTGGATCTTTTAAATTAAATTAATTAATTAAAACAATTTTTTAATTTGAACCACTAAACTTCAGGTAAGGGGATCAGAGAAAAGGTTCTGGGCTTTGGCCTCTCTCTATAAATAAGATCAGAGTTATGACAACGAGATGAATGTTCAAGGTTGAACTGTGAAAAGCTTGGTGATTTTGGTTCACAGAGGGTTCAGAGATCATTTGGGGTTTATGCCCTGGACATTCTTTGTTCAGGGTTTGACTCAAGTCAAAGCAAAACTCAGTCCATATGGATGAGTTTTATTTGTCTTGTGAAACCACTGAATTTCCCCTGTTTTCAACCTGAAATAAAAGATCCCTTCTGGGAACCCAGCGGGAGAGGTAAGAGGGTAAATTTGAAGTCTGGCCTATAATCACCTGACACTTGGCCCTTGTTTGGGAATCTGGGTGAACCTGGCCTGAGTTTTGAACTTGTAACAAGTCTGAAACCAAGCAAATTTTGCCCACTTGCAGATTTCTTTCACATGGCCCCAATTCACAGTAATGTCAGAAATAAAATAGCGTACTTATCACTGGCCTCCTGCTGAGTGCAGAAATGTAACACTGAATCTTAACCCCCTTGGACTTTTGGGAAGCTAGATCCATCTCTACTTGATTGTTCTGGACGGCAACATGGAATAGAATCAATCCCTCTCAAAGTTTGGAGGAAGCCTGGATATGATCTTCATGGCTCAAGCGCTTACCTATTAAGAACCAATATGAGTACAACCGTCCCTTGCCCTGAACATGAGTAGAAGACAAGTAATACAAGACGTAATCTGTTATGTCACTTATCTTCTCTGCCTTCAGAATTTGCCAACTATGAACTCCATTCTCTGTAGCTCTGTCAGATAAATGGAATGGCTGTCTGGGTAGTGGTACGGCTACCTACCACAGAATCATTGTGAAGGAAAGGGTGTAAGGAATCCCTTCCCCACCTACAGCCTGATCCAGCCCCTCACTGAATTCAATGAAAACACTCTCATTGAGTGCAATAGGCTTTGGATCAGGACCTAGGACTCCATCATTTGGATGGCTGCATTCCTGCGGAGGCTGGTTAACATTTTAGGCCCCAGAGGCAGCATTGAGAAGAATGAAGTCCACACATGAGTGGTGCACCCGATGAAGTGAGCTGTAGCTCACAAAAGCTTATGCTCAAATAAATTTGTTAGTCTCTAAGGTGCCACAAGTACTCCTTTTCTTTTTACGTGAGTGGAGTCTTCCAAGAATGCTTCCAACTCCCCTGATGGAGTGACACACCTGCTTTCATATATAGCTAAATGGCTCTGGCTCCCATAACCATAGTAGAGCCTATAATATTTTGCTAATAGGATAGCCCTTGAAAGAGGCAGATATTTGGGTTTTTCAGGATTTTGGTTTTTTAGCTGGACTTTTCTAATTGCTCTGCGTTGCACTTCCAAGTATTGTTCAAACTAATAGCAAGTTTGTGAATTTTCTTATTCAAGACAAAGTTGACATCAGTGCAGTTTGGAAGAAATAGATACCTAGGACTGTTGATGAAATAATAATTTGCTACTGATGGAAGACCTGAGCTCTGCTATAACACAGCACTGAGGTGGCTAAAATACTGAAGTACGTAACTTCAGTGTAATTTTTGAAATGACTGCTATAGATCAGAACGATCTGAACCCCTCCTGCCCCTACCTCCCAAACTGTACCTGGAAGTCTAATGCAAGTGTTACTGTGAAAGGCTGGAAATCATTAAAAGCCTTGGTGCAAATCTAAGCGGTTACAAAAGTCGTTTGTGGACAAAACTTTGATATAACAACTAAAAATTAAATGTTGATAAAATCCAGTAAACTTCTGATGCCATTTTATGAGAGATGCAGCTTTCTACTATGTATTTTAGGAAGTAGCTGTATTATGGAATTCAGGAAGAGTAACCTCTAGGAACATGTGTCATTAATCTTAACTTTTTGTTAAAAGGTCAAAACAATGACCAACTCTCACGGTACATCTCAATTAGAAAATAGGAAAGGAAGATCAATTGGTAACAGATCACTGCTTCTACTAGACAGATGAAAATAAATGTTTCCAACAGCTTATCAATCAATTATGTTCTTACTAGATAGTCACTGTGGTTATGTGGAGAAAATATTGAGCTATTTTTTTTCTTCCAAAAACACACACTAACACTGAATGCCAGAA